TCTCTCTCTCTCTCTCTCTCTCTCTCTCTCTCTCTCTCTCTCTCTCTCTCTCTCTCTCTCTCTCTCTCTGATCGAGTGTCTTCTTTATCTGAATAATGCAGCTAATTATAGAAGAATGCTTAATCGAACGACGAAACACTTTGTAGATCAAAGTTTTGACGAAATTTCATCGATGTTTTTTTCCTCCGCAGGACGAGGATAACCGTGAGCTCGATAGCGCTTCTACGTGATAATCCGTGGTGTACTTTCAAAAGTGATTTTTGCACTGGGAAATGCAGCGGCTGTGATGTATCCATCCGACTCGAAGCAACTGCTTGCTTCTTCTTGCTTAAAGATATACCGGGTGCATAGCTCTCCTCGGAGAATCAAGCGCGTAAACTCGCATTTGCGCTATGCAGGCGATGTACTATAAATAGAAGAGCCTTGTTAGCGACTGCACAACGTGCGACCTGTACCGCTACCAGATGCATCAGGTAAAACAGTTTGACAGTATAAACAGATGCCTGAACCGGGTCAGATCGTTATTGAAGCGTAGATTCCACCGTGATTTGGCGAAAGTCTGACGTTATAAACGTCAGAGAGTTAGAAACGTGGCGAGAGAGAGAGAGGGAGAAAGAGATTTTCACTTTATTCAATCGCAATAAATTTCACGGGAAGCAACGGTCGCATCGTCTGTTTCTCGAAGTTCAATCGTCCGTCCTTCGACCCTAAATAACAGTGTCTAGAAATACCACGGAACATTGTCGGAACAATTCCTCGCGATAATGTCGTACGCTCGTCTGACGAATTATCATTAACGAGCCGTTCGATTATTGATGTGCGATTCCGCGGTGGCTCGACGTTATCGCGTTCGTCCTGAATCGCGGACACATCCGGACGAAGAAAGAGGCCGCGTGAGATAGTGGTTCTCAATTTTTAGTCTTGAAAAATGGAGCTTCTGTGGAAATATTGTCTGTGGGATATTCTTTTTGCTACGGAATATATTTCCTTGTAATAAAATCGCACCTGCCGCACTAGCGACTTTTTTATTCACTGTTATCGTTCGATTCTGAATACAAGTCCTCCTTGAGTCGCACAAATACGTGCAACCGGACAAAAGACCGAACAGTGATAATAATCATCATTTACGCGTACCAATACGGCGCAAATCTCGTCGTCCACTGTGTCAGCGCGTAATTTCGCGGTCGATTTGACTTAGGAACAGCCAGTTCGTGTGCCACGTATATGCACATACGTGCACACGGATATACCGAGCACGACGACGATGATCCGCGACGAGACGCGCCGCGATCGATCTCTTCGACGCAGCGAGTCTATTTGTCGAACACTTTTCGGCCAGTTGATCAGTTTTGGTCGATATTCAAAGAAATAACCTTACGGTCTGCGGAACTTGCTCGCATTTTTCTTCCCTTCCCCTCCCTCTCTCTCTCTCTCTCTCTCTCTCTCTCTCTCTCTCTCTCTCTCTCTTTTTTCTCTCTCT